AAAAAATCCAATTATCTATCAAATATTACAAATACCCCTTTGGCTTTGGCATAATTTTTAATTTAGAAAGGCCACACTAGAAAAGAGTAACTTCATAATTATGCCTGGAAAACAGACAGATTATATTGACGTGACTATGAATGTTATGCAAAATGGTGGCAGGGATTATGAAGTGCTTAACCATCAAATGCTACTGACACTAATGGAGAAAGTGAACATAATGCAAGGTGGGAAAGGGCTATTGTCATGGGATGACATGGATGCTGAAAGCGAAGTAAACTGGTCTTCATGGGTCGATACTGAGTTACCAGAAAAGGTGAACTTGTCAGAAGACCCTGACTACTTACCTAAGGAAATCGAGGATGATTCCTCAGTAAGCAGTTCAAATACCAAGAGATATAATCTTCGTAGGCGAAATTGAAATTTTTTGGTGGGCATAGTATTTCCTGCTATTGTTTAGTTTTAAGTTTTAACTTGTAACCAAACAGGACTGGGATTTTGTAATTTAAAGACAAGATACAAAATGTTGAGCCTGACATAGTTGTTTGACATTCTAAGCCGGTTTGTTTCATTATTTTATTTAATTTTTTACCCTTATATTGTAAAATTGGATCTTGATTACTCTGTAGATTTTACTTTTTTAAATTGCTCCTCCTAAAAGCGCAAGTTTTAGATACAAACATCATAATGAATTACGATAAGATAAATGAGTCGTCCTTATTAATATCAAACACAAACTTTTGCTAAGCAGATCATATTTTCAATCAGATAGCTTTACACTTACAGATGGTTTCTCGCGAACAAAACCGCTATCTCCAACATTCACGGCAAGAGCAGTTTCCCTTTCAAAATTATGAAGAAGGTTTGTGTCTCTCCGGATAATCTTTCTCCAAATCCATCTCAACATGTGTTACCCGGTTCTTTGTATTTCTGATCGACAATCCATTTCTCGTATAAATTGAGGTAATACCGCCAAAAGCCTCTCACTGTGCCCACAGACAAACTAGACCCTCATTTCCTAATTTGATGTCATGAACAAAAGTACCATTATCAATAGAACCATAACAAATCATTTCCACGTTTTGACTAATTATCCAAACGTGAATTCAACACAACAACGGCATGTACCTCATTACTGATATAAAGTGCCATAACAAATCAATAGAACCATAGATAGACTTACCCATGTGAACACCACATTCTCCCTCTGCAGTTTCCTGATAGTTTCAAAGGCCTTGGTCTCTCATAAAGACCCCACCCCTGCAAAAAATTTCAGTTGGGCATTTTGTCAAACACTTCAACAAATCATTAAACATCTCACAGTCGCTGTAGAATTTCAAAGAGCATTATACACCACCTGATCGGGATTCTCGCTCGCCTTTCACAATCCGTCCATGCGCAGCTCTACCGTTCCACAAATCCAATGCTGCCGAGCAAGCCTTTAGCGCAAAATTCCCAGGCTCAAAACCCCTCGACACCACCTAACAGTAGATGGACATGTACTCTCGGAAACTGCCGTTTTTCGAGAACCCAATATCCATGGACACATAGATCGACAAGGAACCCGGCCCGCGTCCTCAACCCGACGCCGGAAGCCCAACGGCTTTTGCCCAGCTGGCCGGAGGCAGCGAATAGAGTTAAGAACTTGGATTTTAAGGCGGGGCTGCAGATGAGATTTATTTTTTTGATACCGTTCGATAGAAGGAGGTGAAGGTAGATTTCCCAGCCATGGCGGAAAGATATCATTAGAAATTTACCTTTTATTTTTGCAAAATTCAAAGAAAATAAATAACAGTTCTACTTGTTATTTAATTTTACTCTCGTTGTCGCAACACAGCACAGTTTACAAATGACGTGTTTCGGTCTCGACCGTTGTGGCATTCTGGGGAAAAAGAGACAATCTTGTTCTGTGGATCACCAAGACTCGAAAGAATATCTTGGCCCCCTTTGTTGTCGTTTTCTGCTCTATCCTTGTCCTACGTTAGCATGTAAAAGCTCCTCGCGAAACTCGTGTAGCTTCCATGTAAAGAACCCCCAACAACTGCCAGTTACCATGAACCCCACCAAAGCCCTATCAAGAGCACCGACGACGCCGTTTTTCCTCAAAGCTAAAAAATTGGGGCCAAATGTCAGGTGGGCCGTTCAATTTCGTCCCAAATTTGTGAATTTCCGGCCAACAGCGTCGGGAGGCGACCATCTTCCGGCAAATCCTGCCTCAGTGACTACTGTTGCGTCAGATGTTAATTCTGTGGGTCTCTCTCACGAACCTAAGGAAGCGAAGGTGGAGAAGGTTGAAGTCTATATTGAAAAGGTGAGTTCTTTTAACAAAAAAATAAATAACTAATTGGAAACGCTTTGAAGCTCTATATTTTTATGCTTTCTTTCCGGAGATTATGGCTGGATAAAATTATTTCGTTGTTTTGCTCGCAGTTAATCTATGGGTGTCGTTTTTTTGCCATTCTTGCGGTTTGGGGATCACTGGTTGGGTCGTTTCTTTGTTTCGTTAAGGTAAGGCCCTTCTTTTTACTATTTTAGGGAAACATTAATTAGACCCTGCTTTGCTTTATTATGTGAGGCTGTCACATTTTGATTCAGAAAAGAGGTATTAAATTATGTTTAAGAGTGTGATGTGTTTGAACTAGTAAACAATCTCACATTATGAATAATTAGTCTGTTTGTGCATGTTGATTGGGTTAAGTTGTTGAGTGATAGCTTTTGGAAATTTCTGTAGATCATTTCGAGTTAAGTTGATCACTTGTACAGACAATTATGAAATTGTCGGGACTCGGAAGGGCTAAAATAAGTGATCACTTTCAATACCACATATTGGGAGCTGGCTGGAGATATGAATTCGGGCTACAATAGCCCTCTGAACAACCTCATCTGGTGATAAGTCAGAACACTTGTAATATAGATTAAGATTAACATGTAAATGTGAGATGGTAAAATGAGTAGCTTGAGGCTTGAGCTGATACTAAGCCAGTTGCCTGGACAAGTGAAATGCAATAATTCACTCTCATGTCAATTTTTCCATCTAAAATGACTAAGAAAGAGCTCGTAGTTGGATTGGTTTAAAAATTTGGCTTGGTGAAAGATGCAATTTTGTTTTAAGGTGAAAGTATAATTACGGTGGACAAGCCAGAACTAGCTTTAGAAACCACCTCATAACACGAGATCTTGGTGTGTGTGTGTGTGTGTGTCTCTTTCCTTTATGCCTTTTTCACTTAAAAATAATGAAGATGATGATAATCAAACGTGTCATGTATAGGGTTGTGTATATGTTGTATCGTCATTTCAAGGTTATTTTGTGGACCGAGGGAAAACGATTGCATCACTTGTTGAGGCCACTGGTATGCATGTCATTGCCATTCTAAGAATTTCATTTGCAGTGATAATATTTTCAGCTGATTTTTTTTTTTTTTTTTTTTTATTAATCCGCTCTTAGATGTCTACATACTTGGAACTGTGATGTTGGTCTTTGGCATGGGCCTTTATGAGCTGTTTATCAGTAATCTCGATAAATCAAAATCCATGTCGGATGGAAGAATTACTTACAGATCAAGTTTGTTCGGTTTGTTCACTCTCAAGGTATCTCTGAGTATCTCTGGTACTGCCGTCATATTTCATCTCCTTGCTTATGTATTGTATTTGACATATGGCCAAAAAACTTAGCCATTTGAAATTTGTCCTTATGGAATCAATTACACACGGATTTCATCTTCTTGGTTATGTTATTTGACATTTGACCAAAAAACTTATGTTAAATCTTTATAAAATTTCATATTTATTGTATAACATGTGACAGAAAACTGAAAATTTTGTAAGCAATTATAGCAATCTGCAAAATCCACATTTAGCTGACAAGAAATGTCAATCATTGTATTCATTTATTTATTTAATTTTTTCTCTTTCTCTTCTAGTTTGATTTTCTGCCTTCTTACTAAAATTACTCAGGAACGACCTCGATGGCTGGAAATAAAAACCGTGAACGAGCTGAAAACGAAACTCGGTCATGTTATAGTGATGCTTCTGCTTATTGGGTTGTTTGACAAGAGCAAAAAAACCACCATACAATCGCCTTTTGATCTTCTTCGTTTCTCTGCATCTGTCCTCCTCTCGTCCGGTTGCCTTTTCCTGCTGTCGAAGCTAAATGAATAAAATAAAAATCAGATATGTAAATAGTCTCTGTATGTACCTTCTATAGAAAGTTATCCTAGAGTTAGCTACTCTTTTATGTTACTCTTGTATTTGATTGTTCATCTAATTGCCTGAGATATTAACATATTTAGGGTTATGTAACCTTATATCAACACCTGACTCGTTCCTCGGTTGAGGGAGTCGAATTTTTCATTAGATGTTAGAATTTTACTATGTTCGTCCAATAATACTTCATGCATTGTGTGAGAATGTTTTCTGGCCCTATTGAAATTGAGTTGACAAAATGAAGTTATGAAAATGAGCACTTCAGGTTTGGAGAGGAATGTCTTCAGGTTTTGTGAGGGATGTACATTGGGTTTTTTAACCACATTAAAAAATAAAAAAATTAAGTGGCCAAAAATAAAAAGAAAAAAAATGTGTGGACCTTTATCAAAAGCACGTATTTTGATAATACGTTTTTATTTAAAAAACGTATTCTAAAAATCCGTTTTTATTTAAAAACGTATTTTTAAAATACGCTTTAAAGTTAATTAAATTAATTATGTTATCAACTTAATTTAATATAAATAAAACGTATTTTAAAAATACGTTTTATAAATAAAATTATTTAAAACGTATTTTACAAATATGTTTTATAAATAAAATTAATTTTTTAATAAATTTATTGAAGAAAATAATTTTTAAGAAAAAAAAAATATTTTTAAATTCATAAAACAGTAAAACGTATTGTGCAAAACGTATAACCGAAATGTATAACCGAAATACGTTTTTGTCATTAATTATTTGTAAAACGTATAACCTAAATACGTTTTATTCATTAATTATTTGTAAAACGTATAACCAAAATATGTTTTATTCATTTATTTATTTTTTAAAATAAATTTTTTCAATTTTTTAACCCAAAAAAACATATTTTAAATATTGAAAACAAACTAATAAACCAAAAGTACATTAACAAATCAACCAATCTACCCTAAATACCACAACAATGGTTTTAAATAAATCATTCAAACAAATCCAAATAAACAATCTAACCAAATTCAAATAAACCATACTACATATTACATATTATAAAGTATATGTATATACTATATACTTCATACTACATATTATAAAGTGTATGTATATACTATATAGTTCATACTACATACTACATACTACATATTATAAATGATATGTATATACTATATACTTCATACAACATACAACATACAACATATTATAAAGTATGTGTATATATTATATAGTTCATACTACATACTACATATTATAAAGTATATGTATATATTATATACTTCATACTACATACTACATACCACATATTATAAAGTATAAATTACATATTATATAATAGATACTACATACTACAATTCAAAATACTACATACTACATACTACATATTATATACTTGATACTACATACTTCAAACTATATATTATATACTTTATATTATACACTATATACTATACACTATATACTATATACTACATATATAAAGTATATGTATATACTATATACTTCATACTACATATTATAAAGTGTAAATTACATATTATATAATAGTTCCTACACTACATACCACATACTACAATTCTAAATACTACATATTACATACTACATATTACATACTTGATACTACATACTACAAACTATATACCATATACTTTATATTATACACTATATACTATATACTATACTAGATATTCATAGTTTTTAACTTTTATTTTTATTTTAATGTCATACAAGTTATTTTTATTTAATATATAATATATAGTCATATTTATATATATTAAAATATATATGTATATACTATATATACAAGACGTTCTTGTAGTAGCAAATATTCAAATGTCTAATCCAACACAATGGAAGCCAATTCGAAAGAGGCTTCTGAGTAGCCCTACACGAAAATGAGTTATTTGCTAGCAAAACTTTGAAATGTCATAATTTTGTGTAGAAATGTCCGTTTTGGACGCATAATTTATGAATTTGGGGTAGCTCGACGAGATCTATCCACTGCAAATTGCCGAAGGCGGTTTGGCCGACAAAAATTTGAAAAAAACGCCTTTCTATAAGGTTAATTTAATTTTTAAGCAAAATTCTAGGTTTTTCAAATTTTTAAACCTCTATATCTCCCAAACGGAGACTCTTTTTACGAAATTTTTATTACCACAACAATGCTATCAACATCAATTTCATGAACCAATGGGCAAAATTGAAAAACGCGTATTTGTACTGAATTACGTCTATATCTACATTACTTGTTGACATTTTTTCGACAAAATATTTTTGGTGGAGTGGTTACCTTGATAGTCTTATTCCTCATTTTGGTGGGAGGTCATGGGTTCAAGACCTCTAGAGTCTCTTATTTTATTATGTTTTTTTATTTTCTCCTTATACACATACATGTGATAATACATATGTTTTTATTTTGCTCATTGTACATGTGATGATATATGTATGTAATTTTATATATATTTATATATAACAATATTAACAATTTATTTTTAGATATTTATTTTTTATTAATAGATTTTTTAAAAAATAATTGAATTATAGCAAGGTATTTCGAAAATACGTTTTAAAATTGATTTAGGATTTTTTAAAAAACGTATTTTCAAAATACGTTTTAATAAGTTTTTTTTTTTAAAAAAAAATTAAATTATAGAAATATAAAATGTATTTCAAAAATACGTTTTATAATTATTATTTTTTATTTTTAAAATATAATTATAAAACGTATTTTTAAAATACGTTTTTTAAAAAAAAAAATTAGAAAAACGTATTCTCGTAATACGTGCTTTTGATTTTGTTCCACACATTTTTTTTTCTTTTTATTTTTGTCCACTGATTTTTTTATTTTTTTAAATAAATAATTCACCCTTACTAGTAGAGATTGCGTTATTTTTCAATGAATGTTATTTTCGTCTTGTATTTCTTTATCAAGATTCAATACGTCTCGGGTAGAGCTATCCATGGACTAGGATGGACGCCAGCCCCATGTAATTTGAAAAATACACTAACTTTACCTTTTAAAAAATTGTATACCTAAGCTTAAAGATATTAAACGGGCTAGCCCTAGCGGGCTTTGGGTTAAACGGTCCGGGTCTAAAAAGTCCGTATTTAAACGGGCTACCAAAAAAAGGACCTAATTCTAACCCTAGCGGGCTTCGGGCTAAACGGGCTATGCGGGCTATGGCTATAATAATAATAATAATAATAATAATAATAATATAATAATAATAATAATAATAATAATAATATAATAATAATAATAATATAATAATAATAATAATAATATATAAAAAATAATAAATAAAAAGAGTAAAAAAATATAAAAAAAAATAACAACGGCTAGTTAAAAATTATTTTCAACGGCTATTTAGTATACCGTCTATCACTATGTTTCATGTATTTCTTATTATTCGTTCTGATTGGCTTAAATATTTTGGTATGAAGTACAATAACAATATTGTTAATAATTATCTTTCAAAATCATAATAATCCATTACAACTCGTACTTACATGTGAAGTGGAATATCAAAATTGTAATATACAAGGAATCTAAGAGCATATTACTTACTTGATGCAAACATTACACCGCCCAACCCTAGTTAAACGGGCCAGCCCTAGCGGGTTCTGGGCTAGCCCTAGCGGGCTTCGGGCTAAACGGTCCGGGCCTAAAAAGCTCTGATTTAAACGGGTTACTAATAAAAGGACCTAACCCTCTTTTTTTCCGGGCTAAACGGGTCGGCCCGTTGAACCAAAGACCATTTAACATCTCTACCTAAGCTCCATCTAATGTTATACCTACCTCCATTCAAGTTTTTATGAAGTCCACAAGAAACTAAGAGCACTCTATGACCTTTT